ATATAACGTGTATTTACTCGAGGCTTCCCATAATGATGTTAATTAAATTATAAAACTTTGTCCTCGTTCGACTAAAATATTATTTGCTTTTGTTGCCGTCGATGTTAGTAAAATAATAACACTTTATAAGGAAGTCATCAAAATAATACTGCAATTATTTTGTAAAATGAGGTCAGGCCTTGATAAATGATCTTCACAATGTTATTGCAATCATCGTTTCTTATGTGGGTGTTAATAGTAGGTACTCAGGTTAGTCATCCTTATTTTGTTCTTCGTATCTAATTTTATGTACAGTGCTAGGTAAGTTGTTCTTCGTCAAATAATTTTGAACATAATAATAATTTAATGATATCAAAATCTTTGGTCGTACATTGCCATGTTGATTTAAATACCTAAACTCTACATTATCATCTTTACTACCTAACATTATGTGCAACCGCACGAGTATGTAAGAGACTAAGCAGAAAACTGAAGGAAACAGATAAAATAACTAAAACTGTACTTAATTGATTGTCATGCTCATAAGTAAGTTCCCGGAACAAAGCAGGCTAATTAAATGTGTTTATAACGGCTCATAATTATTTTACTTTTGCGGTACTTACGTGTAATGTGAGAGGATGCTATGTGCCATCAGCTATGTCACTTTTAAAACATTTTTTAAGACGTAGATAGGTATAGGTTGTTTAATCGTAAAAATCTGATCAAATAATCAAAACATTTTACATATATTAGGCAAGACAAGATAGTTACTGAATTTCTTTTAGAATTAAAGCGATCGAAGCGATTTGAAGTGCCCAAATCGAATCCTATAACAAATTGTTCCTAACATTCGGGTCTGAAAAAACTTTTAACGACTGCCGCCGGCGTCCAATAAATCAGATATGTGTGTAAATATCGCGTTACATAAAACTTGGGGGCATAGGGCGAGTCGACAACGGCAATATTTCACTTGGGGTCACTGGCTCGGAGAAAGTGTAGTACTTTGTCCGCTACGATCTCTCTATTGATGCGATTACAACAATGAAGAGCAGTTAGCTTAAGTACTCGGTTTGTGTGGGTCGTCGCCGGTGTCTAACGACTATGTCGTACCCTCAAAGCCAACTTTCGATGATTCAAAGACTGCCATAAGCTCTAGTTCTCGTAACTACGTGAATGTGAACGCTCTTATTCAGTCGCAGGGATAGCTACCTGCTATATTTGTGGTATTAAGGCCTATTCAAGGCAGGAATGAATAGAAAACTTTTGCCCAAAAATGCTAGACTCTATCATCAAGTCAAAGCGAGAAAGTCTGACATAAGCTTTTTAATTTAGTGAAATGATTTACCACAAAAAACTATTTAATGTAATGTGTAAACAAACGAACGTTACACAGTTTCTATCTTAGTATATCGTGCTAATGTTGATATTAGAAACAATATTATATCTAAAATCAACACAAACACGATTCTCTATTATTGTAAGTCAATAAATACGAAATTCAAGTTTATGGATAAACTTATTTATGTTTGTGAATCCATCGTAAACATCAAGGATTAATCTGGATGAGCAGGTGATAGTAAATAGTAGCCGAAGTGGCGGGTAGTATCAATAAATTAATGTTTATTTAGTAAACTCGCCGTCCGACTTAAGAAGATTATAACGCTTGGACCTGTGTTCTGGACAAATATAAACTCTGCTGAGCCTCGTATTTATACGTCCCAGACAGACGGATTACTTTTGACTAACGGAGCGAAAAGTCCAAGTTAATCCTTTTGAATATTAACAGCGAAGAATATCACGTAACGACTGAAATTAAAATCTTAATAACCTAAGCAGTCTATCATGCCAGGCGCATCGATATTAAAAAGCAGATATTAAAGTCTAGCTTGTTTGTTAAAAACATATTTCTTTATTACAAAAATGAAGCGACAGTCTACATTGTTTGAACTAATAGTATTAAGAATTTTATTTTACAATTTCACAATATCAAATGATTTCTCATTAAATTACAAACGGTGAATTCCCAAATAAGTATGTAATACCTATCGTCTATAATCATTATAAGTAGCAAAGTAGCTAGCCTCATAAATCAAGAGGCGCCAAGTGGAATTGCATAACCTAGCGAAAGAGAAGGATTAAATTATAAAATGTGACAATGCACCATGCACAAAGTTCATGCAAAGTGACATCAAAACGAAAGTTAAGAGTGTTAAATCGCGCATGATATAACTGTATCCGTATTTGTTTGTGTACGATTATAATGTTGTAGTGGGGTCGGCGCCGCCGTGGCCTTGGAGAGAAAGTACCAGAGTTTCACCTATCTGCGGTGCCGCGGCCGATCCAAGTGATATTGACGTAACCACGATATCTCCTTTTATGAGCTTCCAAACTATGGGCAGCTTGCGAGATACGACATAATAAGCCTGAATGAGAGCGTAATGTCCTAACGTGCGTGAAAGTGAGATTTGTACTTTTCGAGTTTTCTTGACTTATTCCCCTGTTGCTCAGAAGTTTTTGTATTTTGATGTCAAACCTACACCTACCTAGATACTTACATAAACAATCGAAGTCATTTACTTATTTCAAGTCGAACTAGCTTTGCTCGCTTACTTAGCCTTACTTAGAAAAAAGGTAGAGACTGTTTGCTCAGGACTTATCACAAAAGAGATAGGGCAGATTTTTACGACAAGTGGACTTAAGTTGATGAAAAACCAAAACCAAAAATTAGTTAGGATTAATTATAGAGCTTCAGGAACAGGCTATGGTTGTTGTTAGGAATAAGTATTTTGACATTGTCACAGAGGACACGCGTAATGATACTTCAAATATCGCAGACTTGTTGAAAAAGGTCAACAAAAGGTTCAGGTCACGTTCAGGTGAATACAATTTAGCTTCAGACAAAAAAGACATCTATCATACTTTGCAATTCAAATTCAAATTTATTTTAGTTATAAAATATATTCTGAAATTAGGAATACCTAACTCGTCTATAATCAAATTTTCGAATTTTCAACAGAATTGTTTGAGTATTTTATGAGATACCTAGAAAAAAACAAACTCATATTTTTATCTAACTGCGAGTAGATGACGGTATTAAAATTATTATTCTTTAGTGACTGTTCCACTACACAGCGACTTAAATCTCAGCTTTTGCAGCATCGATATTAAATTTTCATAAAGTTTCCGCGCTGTCTAAGGCTTATTCTTACATGGGGCTCTGCTGCATATTAACTTGGTCGGACTTTGGACTAAACCTTTTCTTCAGAGGCGCGTCTTCCAGCGAGGATTAAAGATATAGGGCGAGAAAGCTATTTATGTAAATGCTCAATCCCAGGATAAGCCAAGGAAGTTTTACTGTAAACGTCGTCTCTAAATTAAACAATGTAGCAGGTAAAGTATTCAATTAAGTAGAAAAAGTGCCGCAATATCTTATATTGCGTCTGTGAACTTTGTAGTCACAAAATCACAACGACTGTAAAGAAAACATTTCTTAGTGCAAATAAAACAAGTGATGTTTCAGATGTAATTATTGTTATGTCTTACAATTGCAATAATTAAAGTTTTATCAATGCTGACAAAGGCATAGCACGTAATAGCGACAACGTAAATTACATTTCGGATATAAAAGGTGTAATAAAAGTCTGAAAGGAAAACACTGGTGGGAACGTAAAAGAACATTACGCAACAAAAAGTATAGCGCAGAAGGTTGGAACATCAAAGATAATTGCTCTTATTATTCTGTCTGCAATGATACAGCTACGTGACCAAAAGACGTTTATAATTTGTCAATTCAGTGAATAGACTCACCAAACTATACTTTTTTGGGCAAAGTGGCTCAAAACTACAGTGCAATGAGTACTAAGCAATTTCTCTTTTTAAAGATCTAACCAAATCGTCTTGATTGTTTTCTCATGTTTTTGATTAAGCTTACGCCATACCTACTTCACCGAAATGTCTTGTATTAGAACAATGTTTTGATTAAAACTTACGTAATAATATTATGAGGAGATAACTGAAAATTTCGTAATACTCACATATTAACTTCTCATTGATTTGTTTGGTGGATTTCTAATATGATTACCTTCATAATAATTGTAGCATTGAAATGGATCCGAATAGCGAACAAAGAACTTGGTGATGCTCGACTGACTTCAAGATTGACTGGAGTATTAACATGTAAAAAGTAGATCTGAGTAGTTTAGTTTTTGTTTCCACCAGATAGGCGCAATTCATGTCCTTGAGTGCCGGTTGTTATTATTACGTTAGTTTGTCAAGACTCTTCTGTTGAATTGCTATGTTATTAATTTCAATTGTTATTAATTGCTCACTTGAGACTGTACCGTTATTACGTGTTGGATATGGTTGGGTAATAGTTTCATGTGCACCTTTTATTCTGGTGAGTATCTTATATAATTTACAAGATATTATCCCTCGCTGGTGCTGGTATTATAGTTACATCCTTCCTGTGTATTTATTCTCGGTTACTAGTTCTCTCTGTTTTGTATGATTATATCTACTTCTAAATTATACCGTTGACCAATGAAATTCATTAGTTCATGATTGTCCACGTGCATATACACGGGAACCTGATTTTAATGATCATAGCAAAAAGTTATTGTTGAGTGAACTGCTTTTACAACCGGTCTATTGTTTAGTTTTTATTGTTACTTGAAACCTAGTGATTAGCAATCAAAGTTACTTGACATTGACGATTAGCTTGCTCCAGGTTCTTTTTCTAAGGTTGTCAATCGTTGCGTCCGTTGCTGTTGTCAGTTATAGAGATGCGTGTTCTCATCAACCATTTATGGAAACGTTTTTTAATGTTACTTGAAACCTAGTGACTATCAATCAAATTTATTTGACATTGGCGATCTACTTGCTCCAGGTTTCTCTTGCCTGGTTGTCAGTTAAAGAGATGCCATCAACCAGTAATAGAAACAATGTTTTTTTTTGTTTCCAGGTGCAAGCGGTGGCGGATGGCGGGTGACTGCGCAGGCGCGGCTGCGTAGCGCGGTCGCGAGATGAGCGGCGCGCTGTATGCGCAGCCGCCGCTGTCCGCCGCCGAGGCGCTGTCCTCGCTGCTGTGGCAGCCGTACGAGTGCCGCTCGCCGCCGCTCGCGCGCTCGCGCACCGATGGAGCGCTGGCGGCCCTCGGCGGGGGGGCCGAGGCCTCCTGCGCGCCCCGGCCCCAGTCGCCGAACGGCGGTCGTCATGCGCGCGCGTCGTCCCGCGCCCACACTCCCCGCCACGAGATGCGGCTGCCCGTCCCGGCGCCCGCCCCGCTGCGCAAGTCGGACTCGGTCTCGGTGCGCGTCCCGGGCGAGCCGAGCCGACAGAACGTGTCCAGTGTGAACGTGAACATAGTGCAGGTGCAGGATACACCCAGTTGTAATGTGAACAGTGCCGTGCAGACCGAGAGGGAGAGGAGTGTAGCGAGTGCTGAGTGTCAGACGGAGGAGCCGGCGCGGCGGCGGCGTGCGAGGCGGGCGAGGGCGCCGCGGGCTCCGGACCTGCTGGAGAGCGTGCCGCCGCCGCCCTACAGCACGCTGCCGCCGGCGCACCCCGTGCCCGTTCCCGTTCCCGTGCCGCCGCCCGCCGCGCTCATCGCGCCGCACCCGCCGGCTCCGCGCTTCCCTTTCCAGCCCATCCCCCTAAGGTGCGAACAATACCCCGTAAATCTACACTAAAACTTTATGCACCGATTGACTAAGTAGAAACGTCTCTGTTAGTCGGTCATGCCTCCAGTGCCGGATTCGGAGAAAGGCGGCTCACATTGTGAGACTGCTATCATCAACTTTGCATAGCTGAAGCCGTGAATGTACTTTGTATGAAACCAACAAAAGTGATGTCTTTCATCGTTATAGTAGGCGAGTTTTCATGTACGATTTCGCTGCGCGCAGCCCGACGTTCGTTGAAGTCTTTTGTGTGGCTGCTCAGTAATTATTCAACTTATACAATTAAAACACAGTCGTGTGAGGTAATATTCATTTTGTATGCCTCTATTATACATAACATGGAGTAGAGCACTTGTCGGATACGAATTGGCGTTGCGTAACTTTATTCACTTCATGGTTTACCGGGCGCCAGTCTGCTTCGTCTCGTTTTAATGAACTAAACTTACAATAATAACAATTTACAATTTCACAATTCGTAAAGAACATTCGAAGAAATACGACCAAGATTGCAAACTCTATAAAAATAAACAAAATAAGTAAAATCTAATAACAACAATTCCTGAATGCTATAAGAATTATCCTGCTTTCGCCTCCGAGATTTATTTTACCGTGTAGTACCCCTGTACGACAACCCAATCCGCACANAAATACCCATTTGTCCTCAATTTTACAATCGAGCTAGACTAGACACTGCAATGTTTATGAATGAATATAGTCTGCAATGCAGATAGAACGAAGAATACAGTTTTTAAAGATACAATTGTTTTATAATGTCTCAATTAGGAAGATAAGAATATTATGTACACGTAAATTAATATACAATTATACAGTTAAAATATCATTAGAACCAGGGGATCCACTATGAAATACGATTTAGATACGTACATCAATTCTATTCATCTTTCTCACTCATAGCAGCATCGCAGCAAGAGTGAAGGATATGGATGGATAGAGGTCACTATTTCGATATCGTTTTGCGTGGTAGAGACCGCGAGTCCAAAGTGGATCTTGTTTACCCCACCCCCCGTATCGTATTCGCTAATAAATTTCGCTGTAGGGCGGCAATAGAACACGATACCGACGGCGTCGAATAAAACAGGTAGTGGGATAATGTGAAGTTTAATACATGGAAGCCGTTTTGTGATCTGAAAAGCGTATTCTCAATTTATTATTTATTATTATTGGAAGCCAAAATAAAAATTAATTAATTTCATATTCTAAGGGCTGATTTTAAGCCCATAAATTCTTTATTATGATGAAGAAAATTGAAGTTTTGTTGATATACCTAGGTACTTACTTGTACAAAAGCTATCAATAAGTCAATCGTATTTTACAGAAAGAAAAGATATAAATCCGACGATTAGGAAATCAGTTTTCCTAAATAATTTAAAAACAAAATTATTTCTTAAATATTGTAGAATGTGTACTAATAAAGTGTTTCGATCACTGCTGAATGGAACATTGGGTTGGTTCGCACCACGCGAATGTTTGACGTCCGAAAGCTCACGTAAAAGCTCTCATTTAGGTCAAAACTTTATCATTTAGTTTCACTTTCACGTGAAAATAGAAAATGCTGAGAAATAAATACAACAAAAATTGAAACGAATTGAAATGGAGGAAATATAAATGACGTGGTATTTATTGCACATAGGTAATTAAATAAATAGTTTGTATAAGGTTTATTTGCCTACTAATAATATTAACGGACGAGCTATGAGTATCGTTTAAATAGCCTGCATAAAAGCTTCATCCATGAACGAGCATTATCCTTGTAAAATCTCTGGATTTAATTTACAAAATTCCCTCGAGACTCGACATTGTTGAACGAAAATCATGTCAAAAAACACGTACCGTCGTATTAAAACGGACGATGAGCTGTTAAGTTATTCAAGGACCATGCTCCGACTGCGCGTGGCGCCTGGTATTATTTAATTACTTACCTTTAGAGATGTACCGACTACAGTCGGTAATATAAGTTGGTAGAGTCGACTATTCGGTTACTTTTGCAGTCGGCATCTGGAGTACAGTTTTAACTGATACGTCGCCTTGTCTTTAAATTAGAAAATCATTGGTCAGTCTTCCTTAATTTTTAAGGAATTTTGAAAATCACATTTAGGTATTTTGATGAGGCCAATATTTTTAAATACCTACGTCGTGATTATCTTAATATTAGCTCAGAAAACTGGTTGTGATGACCTGTCTCTCCACCAGTCCAGGAAGGGCAGTGGTTTATGAGGGTTTTCCATGTCAGAAGAGTAGGGTCTAAACATCAAAAAACGCACAGAGGTCGCCATAAGTCGTTCATGCAGCATAACTCAAATAGACCAGGTATTGTTAAAGGTAGTTTTTTTTTCGATCATTAGATTATATTATAGATTTAATCTCTAAATCATGTAATGGTACAATTTCTGAGCTACATTAAAATCAGCCTGAGTAGTCGGCTAATTTGGACGCTGGCACATCTCTACGTCACGGCGTGCGTATCTAGATGTCGAGTACCAAAAGCCTCTTTGACTGGCCAACCTGTGGCACACGTCGCTTCATTACATTTGCGTTTGAGACGCTAAGTAAATAGGTTAATCATTTATTTTATTTCATTATTTCATTTTGAGTTTGCTTTTGCTTGATAAAAATCTCACCCGATACTGGTGGCGTATGCACCCGATACGCCATCTAAGGTAGAGCGAGCTTGCATGCCCGAAAGATGCCTGTTCACTAATGCTTTAGACACCTAAAAGGCCTCATGAGGCTCGAGAGCTTATATTTGCCACGTAGACAATATCTATAAAACATCAAGTTTCAATGAGCAAAGGGCTAGAAGCTCTGTTAATTTTTAGGAAAACGTCACATTGCGTGACCTTTACACCTGTTGTACCCCCAAGACCTTACGTTATAACTTAATTTGCCAGTGACTTTATTTAACGAATGACAAATTCAAGAATTCTGTTCTTCTATCAACATTCCACTCTCATCAAGAACTGCTTTTGTAAAATGGATGCCGGATGGTAAGAAAAGTTTATAAAGACGTTTCGTTTTAAGAAAAGTGTAATGGTGAATCTATCATCTACCACACTCGAAAATGCTCGGTTTTAAGAGCAAAAACGAAATTGGAGAACCAAATATCGCGTAGGTATTAGGTATAGAATATTATTAGTCTCAATCATTCATATTGCTTTCTCTTTGCTATTAAAAAAACTGGAAAGCCATTTCGCTTATATAAAGTTGGAAAATAAGAAAAAACGGATGCTCCAATTAAAAGGCACACCAAAGTGGGTATATCGCGATTACATATCAAAAGCGAAAAACGAAATGGTATAGAGTCATTTCTCCTTTTGCTTATATGCATCGTCGAAATTGCTATTGGCGGATTGCGAGTGATTCGTTACTTTAAAAAATTAACACTTTATATCACGTGTGCTCGTTGGTTTAATCGTAAGCTCATACCATTTTTAGAATTGAGGCTGAGTATCAGCCTATTAAGAACGACTATTAAGAATAGATTCGATCTAAGCAAAGATCCAAGCCTTGATTGCCTGAATTTCTATCATTGAATCTAAATTAAACATTTTATGTAGATTTCATGTAGATGCTTGGGTTTTAAATGAGTTTTAGGTGCGTTTCGGAATAGATATGGGACTAAGTGTGTTGGGGTCTAACTATAAGGTATTAAAGGGACTATTGTATGAAAGGGATATACATATTACATCAGTCAAACTAAAAATCGGCCAAATATAGCGTCATATAGCCTCAAAAGAATTTAGAATAAAAAACCATGCATGCATCTTCAATGTTTACTTTAAAATCAAAAGGCCCAGTTGAAAACTCTACAAAAACTCATTTTTACATGAAATCTTCACTTTTTCTCATACAATTAGCATGTTAATAACCTTCTTTTAGTCGAGGTGCGCTTGTGAATTTTTCATTAAAAAAGATACCTACGCAATTTGCATAATCATGTTTCTTTTTATAATGGTTAGTTTCACCGCTATGTAAGCTCAAGACTGAAGCTTTAAATATACGTGGACGGACATGGACCTTTTACATGCTTATTGGCATGTGCATAATACCTACCTATCTAGCTAAATATTGAAAATACTTTACATGTTTTATAAATTGAAGATAAAGGCGCTATCGAAATGAGACTACTATAGTAAATACCGATGTAAGTATCTTTAAATATTTTGGACAAATCTTTGAAGCAGCAATTTTCATGCGACGCATACAATTTCTAATTCTAATACTTACTTTATAAATACGTCTCTTGTTTAGCAACAATCAGTTAAGCACTCAAGACACAATCTATACCTAGAAATTCTGAATTGGGGTCCATTACTAAATCTGCAGCTCCTTCATTATTAACGGATCGACAATAAGACAATCGGCAGCACTTCGGCGGCGCTCGCTCCAATTAGCACCAGGAGATTGCCAAGTTTCCTTCGAGGGATTAACTGTTTGGTGTATTTTTCTAGCTTTGGTTTTGTAATAAGATAAACTGAGTGTTGAAAGTAATAGTCAGTTTGTTCTGACAACAGCTGATTAAAGTTCATCCTTAATTTTGAGCTTCTCTCTATGTTCTTCTGACTAATCCCCGGGTTTATTGACAGTTTAACTTTCCTCCATGACGTTCAATCGTTGGGTTTTTATTGGCGGTCAAGCTGTAGATCCTGGCTACACAGAAGTTGTAGCGGTGGGAACGAGAGATGGAAATTGTCCCTTATAAAAAAAGCACATTATCCTAAACATAACACCTTTTTTAGTTCTAATAGAGTGGATTTTGCAACAAATGTATAGCCTTATGTGCTGTTCTATACGTACGAGGTAGGGCTATGTTTATAATACCAGATGTTTCAGAGCGGCAAAGACTGACGTTGCTAACTTAGAGGCTAAATCAAGCGACTAGAATGATGCGACTGTGTTTAGAAAAGAAAAGGATATGCGGCCTTTAAAAAAAAAAATGTTACCTCCTTAACGAAAATAAAAA